TGCAGTTTCGCCCAAAAATATGCCACAAATTGTCAACATAAAAATGCCTAAATGTATGCTAAATTTGGCTAAAAGCATTGGCATATCTGTGTCTGTTGATTTAAGGGATAAATATTTCATTTTTTACGATTGGATTTGTTGTTTGTTTTTTTTTTCATTACCAGAAATTCCCCCTTTTTCAGAAGCAGGACATTTTCAGGGTGGACAAATATGCCATTAAATTTGATTGTGAAATAATACTCCAGCCAAACATTGTGGGATAGGAATAAGTCTTTCTTAAAAATATTAAAAACAAGTACCTCTGGTACCTCTGGACTTATAGTATACGCCACGTTGAAAAATGTAGACTTAAAAAAAAATATTTTTTAAAGGTCCACATCTATAATTGAGCCTTGGAAAAATATTTTTAAAAACTCACGATTACATAGGCTTTGGAAAAAATATTTGTAAAAAATTCACGCTAATTTTTGCACTGGAAAATATTTGTAAAACATTTTTTAAAAATATTTTTTCCAATGCCAATATAGGCGTGGATTTAAAAAATTTTTTTTTTCAAAGCCTACATAGGCGTGGATTTTTTAAAAATAATTTTTTCAAAGTCTACATAGGCTTGGGTTTTTTAAAAATATTTTTTTCCAAAGTCAGGCGTGGATTTTTTAAAAATATTTTTTTTCAAAATTTACATAGGCTTGGATTTTTTAAAAATATTTTTTTTTCGAAGGACAATATTGGCGTGGATTTTTTAAAAATATTTTTTCCAAGGCCAATATAAGCGTGGATTTATTAAAAATATTTTTTCCAAGGCCAATATAGGCGTGGATTTTTTAAAAATATTTTTTCCAAGGCCAATATAGGCGTGGATTTTTTAAAAATATTTTTTCCAAGGCCAATATAGGCTTGGATTTTTTAAAAATATTTTTCCAAGGCCAATATAGGCGTGGATTTTTTAAAAATATTTTTTCCAAGGCCAATATAGGCGTGGATTTTTTAAAAATATTTTTTCCAAGGCCAATATAGGCGTGGATTTTTTAAAAATATTTTTTCCAAGGCCAATATAGGCGTGGATTTTTTAAAAATATTTTTTCCAAGGCCAATATAGGCGTGGATTTTTTAAAAATATTTTTTCCAAGGCCAATATAGGCGTGGATTTTTTAAAAATATTTTTTCCAAGGCCAATATAGGCGTGGATTTTTTAAAAATATTTTTTCCAAGGCCAATATAGGCGTGGATTTTTTAAAAATATTTTTTCCAAGGCCAATATAGGCGTGGATTTTTTAAAAATATTTTTTCCAAGGCCAATATAGGCGTGGATTTTTTAAAAATATTTTTTCCAAGGCCAATATAGGCGTGGATTTTTTAAAAATATTTTTCCAAGGCCAATATAGGCGTGGATTTTTTAAAAATATTTTTTCCAAGGCCAATATAGGCGTGGATTTTTTAAAAATATTTTTTCCAAGGCCAATATAGGCGTGGATTTTTTAAAAATATTTTTTCCAAGGCCAATATAGGCGTGGATTTTTTAAAAATATTTTTTCCAAGGCCAATATAGGCGTGGATTTTTTAAAAATATTTTTTCCAAGGCCAATATAGGCGTGGATTTTTTAAAAATATTTTTTCCAAGGCCAATATAGGCGTGGATTTTTTAAAAATATTTTTTCCAAGGCCAATATAGGCGTGGATTTTTTAAAAATATTTTTTCCAAGGCCAATATAGGCGTGGATTTTTTAAAAATATTTTTCCAAGGCCAATATAGGCGTGGATTTTTTAAAAATATTTTTTTCAAGGCCAATATAGGCGTGGATTTTTTAAAAATATTTTTTTCAAGGCCAATATAGGCGAGGATTTTTTAAAAATATTTTTTCCAAGGCCAATATAGGCGTGGATTTTTTAAAAATATTTTTTCCAAGGCCAATATAGGCGTGGATTTTTTAAAAATATTTTTCCAAGGCCAATATAGGCGTGGATTTTTTAAAAATATTTTTTCCAAGGCCAATATAGGCGTGGATTTTTTAAAAATATTTTTTTCAAGGTCAATATAGGCGTGGATTTTTTAAAAATATTTTTTCCAAGGCCAATATAAGCGAGGATATTTTAAAAATATTTTTCCAAGGCCGATATTGGCATTGACTTTTTAAAAATATTTTTTCCAAGGCCAATATAGGCGTGGATTTTTTAAAAATATTTTTTCCAAGGCCAATATAGGCGAGGATTTTTTAAAAATATTTTTTTCAAGGCCAATATAGGCGTGGATTTTTTAAAAATATTTTTTCCAAGGCCAATATATGCGAGGATTTTTTAAAAATATTTTTTCCAAGGCCAATATAGGCGTGGATTTTTTAAAAAAAAATTTTTCCAAGGCCAATATAGGCGTGGATTTTTTAAAAATATTTTTTCCAAGGCCAATATAGGCGTGGATTTTTTAAAAATATTTTTTCCAAGGCCAATATAGGCGTGGATTTTTTAAAAATATTTTTTCCAAGGCCAATATAGGCGAGGATTTTTAAAAAATATTTTTTTCAAGGCCAATATAGGCGTGGATTTTTTAAAAATATTTTTTCCAAGGCCAATATAGGCGTGGATTTTTTAAAAATATTTTTTCCAAGGCCAATATAGGCGTGGATTTTTTAAAAATATTTTTTCCAAGGCCAATATAGGCGTGGATTTTTTAAAAATATTTTTTCTAAGGCCAATATAGGCGTGGATTTTTTAAAAATATTTTTTCCAAGGCCAATATAGGCGTGGATTTTTTAAAAATATTTTTTCCAAGGCCAATATAGGCGTGGATTTTTTAAAAATATTTTTTCCAAACCCAATATTAGCTTGGATTTTTTAAAAGTATTTTTGGCCTGGATTTTTTAAAAACATTTTTTCCAAGGCCAATATGGGCGTGCACTTTTTAAAAATATTTTTTCCAAGGCCAATATAGGCGAGGATTTTTGTAAAATATTTTTTCTTAGGCCAATATTGACGTGGATTTTTTAAAAATATTTTTTCCAAGGCCAATATAGGCGTGGATTTTTTAAAAATATTCTTTCCAAGGCCAATATAGGCGAGGATTTTTGTAAAATATTTTTTCTTAGGCCAATATTGACGTGGATTTTTTAAAATATTTTTTCCAAGGCCAACATAGGCGTGGATTTTTTAAAAATATTTTTTTCAAGGCCAATATGGGCGTGGGTTTTTTAAAAATATTTTTTCTTAGGCCAATATTGACGTGGGTTTTTTTAAATATTTTTCCAAAGTCTACATCCAGAATCACGTTAGTACCATGTAGCGTATAAATACTGTCACAACGTATACGCCGCCTATGACATTTTTGAAACATGACTTAGAATATTTATATTACTTATTTATTCTATTTTTTAATAATATTCACACCTATTCCCTAATTAAATACCCCACATGCCTTCTCAATTTAATAAACATTTTAAACTTTAACAAATAGACCATATCCCCATAGAAACTGTATAAAACATACGGTAGGAAATTGTAAAGGAGCTAATTTTTTCTTAGTTATGAAATTTTTTTCAATTTTTATGGCTGTTGTGGCCATAGCTTCCAACACAGATATAGCATCAGCCTTACCTGTCAGTAGATTTTTTTTTTGAAATGGAGTGCTTCATTTTTATATTTTAAATTAATTTATTATTTTTTCTGAACAGTATGGTCCACCTATAACAACTTATCATTTACCCAGCATCATTCCAACTATTGTCTCACTTGGATAGTTTCCCGTGGAACTCTCAAGACTGAAGGGGCGTCTATGGCGTTCCCTAGAAATTAAAAATTTCAATAAAGAATATTCAAATAAAAATATGAAAACAAAGACAAAAATACTAAAATAAAAAATCGACGCCTATATTGGTCTTAGAAAAAATATTTTTAATAAATCCACGCCTATTTTGGCCTTGGAAAAAATATTTTTAAAAAATCCACGCCGATTTTGGTCTTGGAAAAAATATTTTTAAAAAATCCACGCCTATATTGCCCTTGGAAAAAATATTTTTAATAAATCCACGCCTATTTTGGCCTTGGAAAAAATATTTTTAAAAAATCCACGCCGATTTTGGCCTTGGAAAAATATTTTTAAAAAAAATCCACGCCTATATTGGTGTTTGGTCAATGGAAAAAATATTTTTAAAAAAATCCACGTCCGTTTGGTCAATGGAAAAAATATTTTTAAAAAATCCACGTCTGTTTGGTCAATGGAAAAAATATTTTTAAAAAAATCCACGTCCGTTTGGTCAATGGAAAAAATATTTTTAAAAAATCCACGTCTGTTTGGTCAATGGAAAAAATATTTTTAAAAAAATCCACGCCTATTTGGCCTATGGAAAAAAATCCATGCATATATTGGGCTTGAAAAAAATATTTTTAAAAAATCCACGCCAATAATGGCCATGGACAAAAATATTTTTAAAAAATCCACGCCAATAATGGCCATGGACAAAAATATTTTTAAAAAATCCACGCCAATAATGGCCATGGACAAAAATATTTTTAAAAATCCACGCCTATATTGGCCTTGGAAAATATTTTTAAAAAATCCACGCCTATATTGGCCTTGGAAAATATTTTTAAAAAATCCTCGCCTATATTGGCCTTGGAAAATATTTTTAAAAAATCCACGCCTATATTGGCCTTGGAAAATATTTTTAAAAAATCCACGCCTATATTGGCCTTGGAGAATATTTTTAAAAATCCACGCCTATATTAGCCTTGGAAAATATTTTTAAAAAATCCACGCCTATATTGGCCTTGGAAAATATTTTTAAAAAATCCACGCCTATATTGGCCTTGGAAAATATTTTTAAAAAATCCACGCCTATATTGGCCTTGGAAAATATTTTTAAAAAATCCACGCCTATATTGGCCTTGGAAAATATTTTTAAAAAATCCACGCCTATATTGGCCTTGGAAAATATTTTTAAAAATCCACACCTATTTTAAAAGTTAAAGTTTTATGTTTTAATTTTTTATTTCAAACTATTTTTTTATTGAATTTTTTTGCTAGACTCTTGTAGTTTCCCATTTAGGTTGAGGATGACGATGGACGAGGATAGCTTCCCTGAAGTGTAAAAGGTGGAAGTAAATTAAATATTTTCATTCAAAATGTTCCACAAATATTTTCATACCCATCCAGTTCTTCTGGCTTGCGAATAACCGACTAAGGCAATTAGACCAACAATTATGGATGCGAAATTCATGATGCTTTCAATTTGAAATAATTTAAAAAAAAATGGTTTGTCTTTTATAAACCTGTTTTGGAATTGCAATATTCTAATAAAGTTCTCCTAGACGTGCTGCGGAATTAATTAGTAAATTTTATGGGATCATTAAAAAATTAGTATTGAACATTTTCTAGAAATCTGTCATGGGTTCAGGCACATAAAAGGTAAATGAATATTTCCAAACTCATTTGAAATAGAACATCATGAATTTTCTAGCAATTTGTGTCGGACTACTGGTTTTGACTGGGCTATCTGAGGCCGGACTATTTAGAAGGAAGGTAGGTGTTATATTACATATGATTTCAAAAATATATAAATTTGATAAATTGTAATTTTTTTAGCCGAAAATATTCCACCGAATTTAGTTAAGGGTCCTCCTGGATAGGAATATGAAGCCGAGTAAAGAAATATGCCAGTATACTTGTTTTGTAAAAATAAAATTTAAATTAAAAAAAATTAATTGAATATTTTTTTTTTAATTTTATAAGCCTTGGGGAAAAAATGAGAAAAAAAATATATAAAAAATCCACTCCTATGTAGACTTTGGAAAAAATATTTATAAAAAATCCAAGGCTAAGTAGACTTTGAAAAAAATATTTTTAAAAAATCCACGCCTAAGTAGACCTTGGAATAAATATTTTTTTTAAAAATTCCACGCTATTAAGCGTTTGGAAAAAATATTTTAAAAAAATCCATGCCTATTTAGCCTTTGGAAAAAATATTTTAAAAAAATCCACGCCTATTTAGTCTTTGGAAAAAATATTTAAAAAAAATCCACGCCTATGTAGACCTTGGAATAAATATTTTTTTAAAAATTCCACGCTTATTAAGCGTTTGGAAAAAATATTTTAAAAAAATCCATGCCAAATTAGCCTTTGGAAAAAATATTTTTAAAAAATCCACGCCTATAAAGACTTTGGAATAAATATTTTTTTAAAAATTCCACGCTTATTAAGCGTTTGGAAAAAATATTTTAAAAAAATCCATGCCTATTTAGCCTTTGGAAAAAATATTTTTAAAAAATCCACGCCGATGTAAATCTTAGAAAAAATATTTTTAAAAAATTCACGCCTCTTGTAGACCTTGAAAAAAATATTTCTAAATAATCCACGCCTATGTAGACCTTAGAAAAATATTTTAAAAAAATTCACGCCTATGTAGACATTAGAAAAAATATATTTAAAAAATTCACGCCTCTTGTAGAATATAGACCTTGAAAAATATATTTCTAAAAAATCCACGCCTATGTAGACCTTAGAAAAATATTTTAAAAAAATCCACGCCTATGTAGACATTAGAAAAAATATATTTAAAAAATCCACGCCTCTTGTAGACCTTGGAATAAACATTTTTAAAAAATCAAAGCCGATGTAGATCTTGGAAAAAATATTTTTAAAAAATTCACGCTTCTTGTAGACCTTGGAAAAAAATATTTTTAAAAAATCCACGCCTATGTAGACCTTAGAAAAAAATAGACTATGGAAAAAAATATTTTTAAAAAATCCACGCCTATGTAGACCTTAGAAAAAAATAGACTATGGAAAAAATATTTTTAAAAAAAACCACGCCTATGTCGACTTTGGAAAAAATATTTTTATAAAATCCACGCCTATATAGACTTTTAATAAAAAATATTTTTAAAAAATCTGCGCCTATGTCGACTTTGGAAAAAATATTTTTAAAAAATCCACGCCTATGTAGACTTTTGAAAAAATATTCTTAAAAAATCCACGCCTATGTAGACCTTGGAAAAAATATTTTTAAAAAATCCACGCCTATGTAGACCTTGGAAAAAAGTATATGTTTTCAATTTCACTAATTAATTCACCGAGACACTCCAAACAACTTGTGTAGGAAAGCGTAAACTATCGTTGAACGTTCTCCATGACAACTGGTATTTAAAAGAAGAAAACTTGATATAAAAAGGCACTGCTGAAGAGATATTGAAAACTATAATTAATTTCAACATGACGTTTGTACCAATTCTAGTTGCTCTGATTGGCTTAGTCCTATACTCAAACCCCGTAGCTGCTGAACCGGTATAGTAGCTTTGTTTTTGAGAGGAAGCTATTTTTATTAACATTTTATGTGTTTATTTCAGAAAATGTACAAACAAGGAGGAACCCATGGAAAGTAGTCGGATTTTGAGAAGAAGATTAAATTGTCTGGAATTTTTAATTTTTATGGATTTCAAATAAACTTTTGGTTTGACTAAAAATATTTTTGGGAATGTTTTTTTTTTTTTTTTTGAAGAAGAAATAATTACAACTATATTTCCAAAGACGAAATAGTCGTGGATTTTTTAGAAATATTTTTTCCAAGGCCAATATAGGAGTGGATTTTTTAAAAATATTTTTTCGAAGGCCAATGTAGACGCGGATTTTTTTAAAATATTTTTTTCCAAGGCCAATATAGGCGTGGATTTATTAAAAATATTTTTTCCAAGGCCAATATAGGCGTGGATTTATTAAAAATATTTTTTCCAAGGCCAATATAGGCGTAGATTTTTAAAAATATTTTTTTTAAGTCTCCTAGGCATGGATTTTTTTCAAAATGTATTTTCCAAAGATCAAATAGTCATAGATTTTTTAAAAATATTATTTTCCAAAGTCAACATAAGCCTGGATTTTTTAAAAATATATTTTTTAAGTCTCTTAGACGTGGATTTTTGAAAAATATTTTTTTAAGTCTCTTAGGCGTGGATTTTTTCAAAATATATTTTCCAAAGATCAAATAGTCGTAGATTTTTTAAAAATATTATTTTCCAAAGTCAACATAAGCGTGGATTTTTTAAAAATATTTTTTATAAAGTCTCCATAGGCGTGAATTTTTAAAAAATATTTTTTATAAAGTCTCCATAGGCGTGGATTTTCAAAAAATATTTTTTCCAAAGTCTACATAGGCGTGAATTTTTAAAAAATATTTTTTTCCAAAGCCTAACTAGGCGTGGATTTTCAAAAAATATTTTTTCCAAAGTCTACATAGGCGTGGATTTTTTTAAAAATATTTTTCCAAAGTCTACATAGGCATAGATTTTTTTAGAAATATTTTTACCAAAGTCTACCTAAGCGTGGATTTTTAAATTTTTTTTTATTTTAAATTTTAAGTTTTATTAAATTTTTACACAAAAAGTTGTCATCGCATATTTTTCTCTCCCTACCATGTTCCTATAGAATATTTTATCAAATGCGTGGATATGTTTTCTGCAAGAAAAATTAGTGTTAATAATTTTAATATTTTTTTTTAACAATATATAATAACACCTACCCAACCACTCATGAATCCAGCCTCCGAGAAACCAGCCAAAACCAGTAGTCCGACACAAATTGCTAGACACTTCATGGTGTTAAATTTCGAATAGTTTCGATTCCATGAAGTTTTCCATTTAGCTTTTATGTGCCGGAACCCGTAGCCAGTGTCTAGAAAAATTGCAATGCTAATTTTTTAATGATCCCATAAAATTTCTTAATTAATTCCACAGCACGGCTAGGAGAACTATTGCAATTCCAAAACATGTTTATAAAAGACAAATTCAATATTTTTTCAAAATTATTTCAAATCGAAAACATCATGAAGTTCGAAGCCATTATTGTTGGTCTTATTGCCTTAGTCGGTTACTCGCAAGCCAGAAGAACTGGATGGGTATGAAAATATTTGCGGAAGTTTTTGAATGGAAATATTTAATTTACCCTCCCCTTTTGTCCTACAGGGAAGCTATCCTCGTCCATCGTCATCCTCAACTTAGGTTGGAAGCTACAAATGACTATCAAAAGATTTGGGATGGAATTATGAGTTGCTTTATGAAATTTTTCAATAAAAATTAAGATTTTGGAAAAAAAAAAATCAAAACCCAAAAGGATTTTTTCATGGCTTAGAATTTTTAGAATTTCTCCAGGACCTATAGACAAATAAAAACTGATTTTGAAGAATTTTTTTCTCAAGGATCCCAAGGCCAATAAACGTGGATTTTTAAAGAATTTTTTCTCAAGGACCTATAGCCCAATAAACGTGGATTTTTAAAGAATTTTTTCTCAAGGATCTCAAGGCCAATAAACGTGGATTTTTAAAGAATTTTTTCTCAAGGATCTCAAGGCCAATAAACGTGGATTTTTTAAAGAATTTTTTCTCAAGGATCTCAAGGCCAATAAACGTGGATTTTTAAAGAATTTTTTCTCAAGGATCTCAAGGCCAATAAACCTGGATTTTTAAGAATTTTTTCTCAAGGATCTCAAGGCCAATAAACGTGGATTTTTAAAGAATTTTTTCTCAAGGATCTCAAGGCCAATAACGTGGATTTTTAAAGAATTTTTTCTCAAGGATCTCAAGGCCAATAAACGTGGATTTTTAAAGAATTTTTTCTCAAGGATCTCAAGGCCAATAAACGTGGATTTTTAAAAGAATTTTTTCTCAAGGATCTCAAGGCCAATAAACGTGGATTTTTAAAGAATTTTTTCTCAAGGATCTCAAGGCCAATAAACGTGGATTTTTAAAGAATTTTTTCTCAAGGATCTCAAGGCCAATAACGTGGATTTTTAAAGAATTTTTTCTCAAGGATCTCAAGGCCAATAAACGTGGATTTTTAAAGAATTTTTTCTCAAGGATCTCAAGGCCAATAAACGTGGATTTTAAAGAATTTTTTCTCAAGGATCTCAAGGCCAATAACGTGGATTTTTAAAGAATTTTTTCTCAAGGATCTCAAGGCCAATAAACGTGGATTTTTAAAGAATTTTTTCTCAAGGATCTCAAGGCCAATAAACGTGGATTTTTAAAGAATTTTTTCTCAAGGATCTCAAGGCCAATAAACGTGGATTTTTAAAGAATTTTTTCTCAAGGATCTCAAGGCCAATAAACGTGGATTTTAAAGAATTTTTTCTCAAGGATCTCAAGGCCAATAAACGTGGATTTTAAAGAATTTTTCTCAAGGATCTCAAGGCCAATAAACGTGGATTTTAAAGAATTTTTTCTCAAGGATCTCAAGGGCCAATAAACGTGGATTTTAAAGAATTTTTTCTCAGGATCTCAAGGCCAATAAACGTGGATTTTTAAAGAATTTTTTCTCAAGGATCTCAAGGGCCAATAAACGGGATTTTTAAAGAATTTTTTCTCAAAGGACCTAAGGCGAATGATAAGTGATTTTAAAAGAATTTTTTCTGAGGACCCTAAGGCGAAGGGATAGATTTTTACAGATTTTCTCCATGACCCTTAGACCAATAAACGGGGATTTTAAAGAATTTTT